GCTTGGTTCAATTTGACACTGGGTGCTTTCAGGAAGGACTGTGGTTCTACCTAGGGTGCTTGCGTAGCAACAGGATGGCGGAGGTGAAGAGCGGCTGGGCCCAATACTTGAAGAAGGCATCCCTCCTATTCTTTCAGGAACCATTGAGCTTGGCACATGGTGTAATGTTGAACATGGGAAACTGTGGATCCCACATGTTTTTTGCCAAGCTGGGACTTGTAATAGCGGACGAACCAGCTCTGAAATCCCTTTGGGGATTTAAAGGCGCATCTGGAAACATGCCATGTTTTTTTCTGTCAGAACGTTTCTCTCCACTCCTCAGATTTGGCCAAGAACGACAAGACAGGTTTTTTGGTACCACATACGTGCTGTGACACGTCAAAGTTTGTGCGACACACAGATGACAGCATTTTGGAGGCCGCACGGTTTCTCCAAACTACATTCGGCACGGTCTCAAAGGCAGCCTTCAACCGGCATGAGCAAGCCTGCGGTCTCAACCACTGCCCGGAGGGCCCATTGTTATCAGAGGAGTTTTTGGCCAACATTATTCCCGGGCCCATTTCAGCTACTCAATTTGATTGGGTACATATATACCTTGTCGGTGGGATCTTTCAGACAGAGTGCACTCACTTGCTCACCTCACTGAGGGGCGTGCTGAGTGTGCGAGACGCTCATACTTTTTTTGTGTGCCTTCACCTTCCCCAGGTCCTTGTCTTCTAGGGGTGTGACCGGCCAAAAGATCTTCTCCAAAGTAGATCAAGACGTAAAGTCATCAGCGTCAGAAGGACTTTCCATTTATCCGGTGCCTGCTGATAGAAAGGGTTCAGGACGGGATCTCTGAGCATGTGGATTTTGCAAAGAACTCATTCTTTGCTCTGTGTGAGGTCCTAGACTTGTTGAAGCGTGTGATCACTGGCTCTGTTTCGTCCAGTGACTTGAAGCAGTGCATTGAGACTCACATGAGGTTGCGGCTACATGCTTACGAAGAGAGTGGGTTCCAGCCAAAGTGCCACTACTGTGCACACCTGCCGGAGTTCCTAGATCGGCAACCCCTCCTCAACTGCTTCGTCCACGAACGCAAACACAAAGAACTGAAGCGCTTCGGAAATGATTTTTCCAACGCCAACAGAACTGACTCCTTTGAGAAGCATCTTCTGTTGCAGGTCTGCCTGCAACAAATCAACTCCCTGAGAGAGTTGAAGCATAATCATGGCACCAGCATGGACCGACCCGCGGTCGCAACACCAGAGATTGTAGAACACATGAAGGCAGCCTTCGGCCTTGACACCACAGTTCTCCTGAACGTCCAGGTGTCAAATGACATTGTAGTGAGGCCTGGCCTCACCTGTTGGGCCAAGGACGTGATATTGGTTGAGACGGATCGTGGACAGGCTGTCGGTGAAGTGTGGTTTCACACAAAAGTTGGCGACCAATACTTCACACTGTGGAGCCCCTGGAGCTCTTTGGGAAGCAACCGTTTTGAACAGCGTGATGAGCCTGAATTTGTGGAGACAGAGTTGATCACAGCTTGCTTGGTACACCGGAAGAACCCAGATGGGTCTGTCCTCGTTGCTCCTTAATGAAAAAGAACGAGCCTTATTATTGGGCCCTGCTCGCGAGCCGGTGGCCCTGCTTTCATGTGATGGACAATGGAAGTGGCATTGGCGTCATATTCCCCCCCCCCACTGATGGAAAAGATCCAGCGCAACCGCAAACCCAATAAAATAAATTACCATACTATATTTTGGTGGTAGCGCTGAATCTCGCCCATCAGTCCTACAGGTAATAGTACTAGGAAGAACCTGGAACAGAACAGGCCGATAAGCCTACAGGAACAGAACCACAGGATGGGTCAAAACCTGGGGAAACCAAGGTACCCTGGCGTCACCAGTCCAAATCAACATACCAAAAAACAATTGTACATTTTAGCCCCTTAAGTGAGGAACCTTCGATCGACATCGCTCGGCCCCAGAGTAAAAACTCGACATGAGTCTGAGAACCTATGCGTGTGAAAATCTAAAGTACCCATACTTGATCTTTAAGGGGAATTTGTTTCAAACGCACAGGATACACATAGACCTGATGGGGCGCGATGGCCTCCAACCTAAATAGGGATTGCCTCCAACCTTAGCGATCGCCTCCAAAGCTAAAAGCGGTGGCCTCCAGCAGAGGCTCAGTGAGCCACCCAACCACCACCACCCCCTCCACCAAGCCGGCGTTGTCCGGCCTTCTTGGCAGGCTGCCGCCAATGCCCAGCCAGAGCGCAGGGCGGTGTGGGCCGGGGCGGGCGGAGAAGAGGAAGGTGTTAGGTGTAGGGGTTTAGGTTGTTGGTTTCTCTTACATATTATATATATATACACACACACATTCAGGTTTCCGTGTGTTGCGGTGCACCTAAAAGAACTTAAACCCTGTGTAGTTTGAATGTTCAACAGACCGGGCCCGGGCTTTGAAAAAAGAAACAAACTCCTGCTTGAAAAATACCGACGACACTTTCCGTTCCGTAGCTACTGGCGCAATGCCATGTGTTTTTAAACTACCCACTGCGCAAAAAAAAACAGCAGCAGCGCAAAAAAAAACAACAGCAACAAGAGCAAATACTATTTTTTATGGTCCTGGCTCAAGATTCTGGCAGACTTAGCAGACTTAGCTAAGTACACTTAGCAGGCTTGGCTAAGTATAGCTAAGTACACTTAGCGCGGACCTTGCAAGTGCGCTAAGTAGGACTTAGCATGTGCGCTAAGTGGCACCTGCTAACTATGCCAACTCTGCTAATAAGTCCACTAAGTACATGCATGTTTGCCATGTACTTACACAACACACCCCGTTCATCCAAGCACAGGCCGTGCGATGATCCTGCAGGAGGTCGAGCCGGCCTCCGCAACGGCAGGTCGCTGGGCCACACGGTAGGCTGCAGCGGAGCCGGCGGATGAGAGCGATGCGGAAGTGCGCATTGTCCAACTGGAGCTCAGGGGAGGTTGGGAGAGTCGTGAAAGCACGGCCGCCATGGGGGCCGGCCTGCGACAGGAGGAGCGCGCAGGAGGAGCAAGGTCAGAAAAGAGCGCAGCGGCTGGCGGCATGCTGCCAGCCATGGAGGAGATCGCCAGGTTGGCGGTCAGGGTCAGCGGGAGGGCGCAAGCCCCGCCCCACCAAGGGAGGCCCAGCTAGGGACGGTGAATCCGCTGGCACGAAGGAGGTGCGCAGATTGGCAGGCTGCCTGGACGCAGGGCGGTTGGGGGCGGGCCTCACCCTGCAGGAGTTGGAGCAGGCGGTCCCCAGGAGGGGGGAGCGAGCATGGAGGACTGGCAAACAATCGGCCCAAGACCCCCAATGGGCGGCGAAGCGGAGGCGCTCGGCCGAGCGGAGGCCACGCAGAGGCAGGCGGGCAAGGCGCGCCTGCAAACCCGGGAAATCTTCACCTCCGCTGAGGAGGGAAGCCAGGCAAGAGAGGACGGCAACATCATGGGAAGCTGCGTATTCTTGCGTATCAGCTGGCGGAAGAACTCGGAGGAAGTAGTTGGCCCGGGGCGAGGCGCAGAAAAGCAGCAAGAGCCAGGCCGCCTGCAAGGACGGGACCTCGGGGATGCGGCGGAGGAGTAAGTCCTCCTTGTCTCGCCGGGCTTGGGGCATCTATGCACTCCCCGGCTCACTACACACTATCCCCTTGGGTCCCTCAACCTCTGGCTGAATGAAGTGACCCAAGGTACGATGAACTACCAGGAGCAATTTAGCCAGAAAGTTTTGGACCGAACCCCATGTGTTGCACACAGGGACCCATGGCTAAACGACCATGGACCCAACCTCTATTTTTGCTAAAAAGTTTAGCAACCAACAGCTAAAAACATACATACCCAACCAAATTGACATGTGACAAACTGTGTCTGGTGACACCCTGGCAAGACTTGACCACAAAGGCTTACAGTAAATCCTCCCACCTGGAGTTTTGGAGATGTCTAGGTCTTGAACATCTTGAAGGTCTTGGGCATCACCTTTAACCTACTACATCCTTGTCACAGTTCCACACAATCGAAACAAGAAGAATACCCCTGCTGCCTACATACCAACCATGAAGCATTGACAAGCCATTTGGCCAAACAATAGCTACCAGAACATTCATAAACACATATCCAGCAGCACCACAACAAAACCACATGTCCGTTCCAGAAGTTGTTGAAATATGTTGAAATTCACCTCAGCGAGGTTTGTAATTGGTTTTTGTAGTGTGACTCCTTGGGACCCACTCACTTTAGCCAAGCGCATTGCTACCACACACACACACACACCAATCACACACTGCGAAACACCCTGGCAAGACTTGACCTCAAAGACTGAAATCCTCCCATCTGGAGTTTTGGAGATGTCTAGCTCTTGAACATCTCCTTTAACCTACCACATCCTTGTCACATTTCCACACAATCCAAACAAGAAGAATGAATACGCCTGCTGCCTACCTAAAGCAATGACAAGCATTTGAACATGACCACTTTGTCAACACGATGTGCCCAAAATACACTATGGCTAAAATCCATTGCGCGGCCTGGCTAAAATAATAGGTAGCCAACGCCTGAGTAGTATATACAAGGTCCTGATCTAGGGTACTTGTATCTCCTCAATATGGCTCAACTAGCGAAAGGTACCCAACCTCAGAAATTTTTTGTACAACCTCGATTGTGTAAGAATTATCCATCCCCAGATCACGTATTGGCTGGCTAAAAATTTATAGCCAGCAGGGGCTCAAGCCCATGGGATCCTAGCCAGGCTAGTGGACGGAGGATGCCCAAGCGGGTTCCCAAGGTCAGCGCTGTCAGGGATCCAGACCCGCGTCTTGCCCTGGTGGAGCTCGATGTGGGCATGCCGCATGAGAGGGGCCTGGAGGGAGGCGAAGAGGTGGCGGGCCCTCTCCGGGGCTGAAATGGCATAGATGTCGTCGAGGAAGGCGAAAAGGCCTTCCCCAGGCTGTAGTCCTGCCTGAACTTCCGCAAGTGCAGGGTGCTGGGCGATGGAAAACAAAGCCGGCATGAGCGGGTCGCCTTGCTCTCCGCCTTCGGCCTGGCGGATGGTGTGGGCAGCGCCGTCCCCATCGTACCACACGTAAGCGCTGTCAGCGCCACACAGAACAGACGCGAGAAGGGGAGGAGCCCGTGGAGGGCCGGCCGGGCGAGAGACGTGGTCGTACGCCCCGACCCCATCAACCGACAGGACCGTGGCCCGGGTCCACTTCGGTTGCAAATCGCGCAAGGCGGGCGAGGCTCAGGCCCAGAGCGGGTGCTGAGGGCGTACTGGACCTCCTGCAACTCTCCGGAGAATTGCTGGGCGAGTGTGCGGGCGACGAGGCGCCGGAAGACATCACGCCCCCGCGCGTTCGTTGGGTTTCTGCAGGGCCACTGCACGGAAGAGCGCCACTCGCCTATCGGACTGCTGGAGCTGGGGGGGCGCCGCCAAGACCACACGTCCTCTGGGGGAGGCGGGTCAGGAGCGGCGGGCCGCTAGCTCCACCACCACCACGCCGTGCAGGGTGTCGTGGCAGGCCGGCGCCGAGAGAGAGCCGAGCCGCAGGGCGCAGGGGAACATCGGCGGGGCAGCGCGGGGCCCGAGCTTGAGCCAAACTTAAATGGCTTGAGCCAAAATGGCTGTCTCCGGTCTTGTCTCCCTTTTTGTTGGTCACTGTGTCCGCCTTGTCTCCCTTCTGTCTCCTTTTGTTTCCTTTCTGTTTCCTTTTGACATTTGTCTCCCAGCTCTGAGCTGCTGTGTCCGCCTCGACCTTTGCAATCCTTCCATTTGTCTCCCAGCTCTGCGCTGCTGTGCCTGGGCTGTGAATCTTTTACATTTGCCTCCCAGCGCTGGGCTGCCGTGTCCGCCTCTGCCTTGCAATCCTGTACATTTGTCCTTACAATCCTTTGCGTTTGTCTCCCAGCTCTGGACTGCTGTGTCCGCCCCTGCTTTGCAATCCTTTGTCTCCCAGCTCTGGACGTCGCAGGCTCTAGTTGCAGAGTGTTCCGATTGTGAAAAGCACAAACTGTTTGGGGTCTACGGTGGTGTAATTACTATTACTACAGGATTTACTTTATATAGCAGTTTATATAACAGTATAACAATGTGATACAATGTGGATATCTATCGGCTGGCGGGGGTAGCAAGCATACGCAGCGAACATCACATGTGTACATATATATGTAAAATATATACATAAGCAGAAAAAATTATCTTGGATTTGGAACATTGGACATCGTTGAGAATCGTTGAGACACCGGAAGCTCTGGATGCCTTTCTGGTGGAAACAGGGGCTCTTCATTGGCTCATTTGTGTAATGGAGGGTTAACATCAAGTGCGGCAATGTTCTCTTACCGCACTTTGATTGTCTAGGCAGCATTAGGAATGAGTGGGTGCCACACTGGATCGGAAAATTGTTTCCTGCTAAACCCCAGCGCCAAAAGGCTCCTACATTGGTTGTTACATGTCTGATGGACATATATAAACCGGCAGAGTTTTGCTTGGATTGCGCCTGCAGGGATTGCGCAACTGCACGCAACGTTCGTTGCAATGGGTTCTTTGACAGGTTCGGTCTTGCACG